CATTGGGATTTTTTCAAAGGAAAGACAGTGAAAATAAAAGTGACCTTTGTAAGACTATGACTCCAATATTTACTGATTACATCGTGTCCGCACCAATATTTACTGAATAATTACATTGCCCATAATGACGGACTAAGAAAGTTTCCTTTTGAATTCGGGAATGGTGGTTCGAGTTGGTTGGTTTATGAAATACCTTTTGCCTGTGCTAGACCTCCCATTCTTTAATTCCAAGGCCTAGAAGCCCTCTTTTCTACAACAATTCTGATTTAATCTGATTGCATACCCAATGAAGGAGTCCTGGTGGGTTGCTCAAGGGGCTATGAACCCAAAGGTCAGCAGTTTGAACCCACCAGCGTCTCCCCATGAGGATGACGAGGCTGTTTGCCCCCTGTGAAGATGGGCTGTTTTAGAACTCCATGTGGGCAGGTCTATTCTGTCCTGTAGGGCCGGTGTGAGCTAGAGTCCCCTGGATGGTGAAGGGTGCGTTTGGTTTGGGCATAGACAATGAGCTTGGGAAGGGGAGGAGATGAGTCCTGTATCTGTTACGGATGCTGACATCTCCTTGGCTTACTCTTGCAAAATGAAAGCACATCTCACGGGGTCATTTTAATATGATTCTCCCTTTGCTGTTGTTGTCGTTTCAAACTTTTAGTCTTTGTTGAGCATCCGTGGCTCCCTGTTCTCTCCAAGGCGAAATAGCAGAACAAGCCTTTTCAGCTTTAGAGGGCGAGCAAAAGATGTGGGATCCGAGAACGACTTTGCGGACGATGAGCACAGCACGTTTGAGGACAACGAGAGCCGGAGAGACTCCCTGTTTGTGCCCCGGCAACACGGAGAACGACGCAACAGTAACCTAAGTCAGACCAGTAGGTCGTCCCGGATGCTGGCAGTGTTTCCAGCGAATGGGAAGATGCACAGCACTGTGGATTGCAATGGTGTGGTTTCCTTGGTTGGTGGACCTTCAGTTCCTACATCACCTGTTGGACAGCTTCTGCCAGAGGTGATAATAGATAAGCCAGCTACTGATGACAATGTAAGGAAGTTTTAAATAGTTTAGGCATGGCTGGCCCATTATTACTGCACCAGCCAGTGTTTCTACAGAATGGAACCCCTTGAGAATGATTCCTGGTTGGTCAACCTGTGAATGTACCTGCATCTTGTAATACCTTTAGCAGACTAACCAACAGAAATCTAAAAAGCTAACAGTCTCCTGCATAACACCTGAATGCATTTACTTATAAATCGATCACGAATAATCTAATACAATAAGCTATTGCCTCCAATCAAAGAATTTGCTATATACCCAGGCTGAGATTAGATAGTAGAATAACCTCTGCACAAAATTAAAGGAGTGATTCCTATAATTAATTAATTATGGAGGGTGTATAATAAATCTTTCCAGCCAATTTTTCAATATAACTCTAGTTTAGGAGATTTTCGAGAACATTGTGCATAGATAGCTTCATTGTTACCTTAAAATTTCCTGTTCTCATACTTGTCTTACTAAAAAAGATGCTGATATAGGTCTTCTCCAATCTAATCTAAATGAAGAGACACAAATTAAGCCATTCATTCAGACAGTGAAAATAATTGTCTGTGTGCAAAAGGCGTGTAAAGTATTTGAGAATGTATCCCTAGATGAGGAATTTCTAAATACATTGCCTCTCGTTATACTGTTCATTCACTTGGAAATATATCAGCATGTTGAGGCATGGCTAAGTCAGAATTAGATGACTTATTGCTTTGGTACCCTGGATGAAACTGTTGTCCATGCAGCATGCATGTGTTTTGTTTTTGTTTGTTTTTTTAACATACAGTTTGTGTTGCTAATTACCATCCCTGTCTTGTGTCCAAAATAGGAGACGGTAGCGACGTGTGTTGTAACCATTTGTATTTGGCTACCTTCTCAATACCAAGTGCCATGATCATTTATGTCACTTCTCAAGTTATTCATTTTTACTAACTAGTTCAGAAATAAGGATAATTACAATTACGACTCTCAAGAGATTTATCACCTATATAAAATTTATAGTATGTCTCATAAATTGATTAAATCAATGGGTTAAAAACCTTTTTGCTGTATGACTAAATGGTTAACAGTTTGGACATTCCAGGTTAAAGATACAATAAGTCAGCAATATCTGCCATTACCAAGTAACTCCAAAGGTGCATGATGCATGCATTTCACGAAATTCACTGTGTCACCTTCTGGTTGTTGGCTGAACCTCTTGCTCAAGATAAACTTCTAATGGATTAGCTTTTTTTTTTTTTCCCTCTTCAAACAGGGAACAACCACAGAAACAGAAATGAGAAAGAGAAGGTCAAGTTCTTTCCAGGTTTCCATGGACTTTCTAGAAGATCCTTCCCAGAGGCAAAGAGCAATGAGTATAGCCAGCATTTTAACAAATACAGTCGAAGGTTGGTAACAAAGTCTCTTCATTTTTCTGTTCTTTGCAGGAAACGTCTGTTGTCTTTTTTGAAACAAATATGTATAAGTTGGAAACAGTATGTTTTCATGAGAAGATCAGAGTTGATATGTAAAGAGGGGATCCCCAGTGGCACTGGGGGTTAGGTGGTGGGAGGCTAAGCACAAGGTTTTTGGCTCAAACCCACCAGCTGCTCTTGGGAGAAGGGGAAGCTGGGTTCTCCAGGACAGATTGATAGGCTCCGTAACCCGATAAGCAATGGTTCTCAACCTGGGGGTCAAGACCCCTTTGAGGGTTGAATGACCCTTTCACAGGAGTCGCCCGATTTATAACAGCAAAATGACAGTGATGAGATAGCATCGAAAATAATGTTATGGTTGGGGGGTCACCACCACATGCGGACCTGCGTGAAAGGGCCGCAGCGTTAGAAAGGTTGAGAACCGCTGCATCCAAAGGGTCACTGGGATCCAAAAGGAGGCAGTGGCAGCGGGCCTGTGTGTGTGTGTGCTGTATCCCTGCACGTGTTCTAGAAACACTCCTGCAAACGTGTGTAAGCACACTGGTATTGTGATTGTTCTGCTAAAGTGTATGTAGTATCTCTTTAAAATTTCACAATAAAGCTAAGAATTTCATGAGTCATGATGACTCTTCTGCCCCACTTAGCTTAGTTCTTTAGCAGCAACATGGGTGCTTTTTAGTTCTGATGCATGTGCTAAAACATGGATAAACCTTGAAAACATTGATTATATGAAATAAATCAGACACAAAAATACAAATATTCTATGATCTCATTTACTTATTTACTACATATTTCTACTCCATATCATTAACGTAATAGCTCCCCCAAACTGAAAACAAACTCACTGTCATTGAGTTGATTTGGACTCATTGATAGCCACCTTGTAAGACGGAGTAGAACTGCCTGTTTGAGGTTTTGATGATGTAAATTTCTGCCAGAGCAGAAAGCCTCATCTTTCACCTGTGGGTTCAAACTAATGACCTTGTGGTTAGCAGCCCATCTTGTAACTCAGTACTCTACTAGGGTTCCTTATGTAATATCTAGAATGGGAAAATAAATAGAAATCAAAATGTATTACTGGCTACCAAGAGCAGGGAATGGAAGGAATGGGAAACTATTGCTTACAAAGTGCTAGATTTGGGGTACTGAAAATAGTTGCACATATTATGAATTTGAAACCACTGAATCATATACTTTAAAATTGTTAAAATGGCAAATTTTTGTCCTACATATTTTACAAGAAGTTTTTATGAAAGTAAAAGAATACATCCTACTCTCAAGATTTTGAAAAGTGTGATGAATAAGTCATCTTCACAAAATGGAAGCAGATTTAAAGGATAATTCTTTATTTTTTGTGACAGCCCCCCCCCACCCAATCCATTATTTGTAACCTGAGCGTAATGCCATATCCAGGCCTAAACACGGGGCCACACTGTGTTCTCATTGGACCATCATTTTAAAAAGCCATTGGCTTAACTGGCAGTCAAGTACAGGCAACTTCTGAGTTGCAAATGAAACCCGTTCTTGAGCTTTAAGTAAGTTCATAATGATATAGCCTCCCCCTCTTGAAGGGGATGAATAACAGAAATGTGGGTGAAGGGAGACAATGAACAGTGTAAGATATGAAATAATAATAACAATATATAATTGATCAAGGATTCACAAGGGGGAAGGGTAAGTGAGGGAGGGGGGAAAAGAGAAGCTGATACCAAGGGCTCAAGTAGAAAATGTTTTGGAAATTATGATGGCCACATCATAATTGTATGCTTGATATAATTGTTTTATGGAATTATAAGAGCTGTTAGAGCCCAATAAAATGATTTTTTAAAGATGATTGATCTAACAGAGAAGACTGTTAAAAATAAAATTAATTGGTCTATTGAAGTACGTTCATAATTCACGTTTGCAGATAAGATAGGACAGATGTATATGGTTCTGATTTAGGCTTTAACTGCAAGACAGGAGTCCTAGTGGTGCCATCAGGTAAACATTGGGCTGCTAACTTGAAAGTTGGTGGTTCAAACCCACTAGCTGGAATATTTACAAAGACTCAAAACCATAGAAAGGATTATTGTGAGTTCGACTAGACCTGACTGGCAATGGGTTTGATTTTAGCCCAAGAAAAGGCTGAAGACCTTTTCAAAAGCTGCATGTGAAGCAAGTGGAGGGGATAGTGGCAAATGTTTCCAGTGAAGATTGTTCAAGGGTTTCAAAGTAACGGCAAAATTAAGTAACTTTAACTTCCAAGTCCACCTTACCCGTAATTGGAGATTTGAGACCCAGGGACTACCAGTGCATAAGATAGAGAGAGAAAAAGCAGGTGGCGGGATTTTGAGAATGTGAAGAGTAAAATCCATAGTTTGTTTTGTTTGTTTTTATCAAGTACAAAAGAAGACTAACTTTTTGTAGCAAGTGAAAATGGGTCAATAACAATAAAGAAACCTAGTTGATTTGAAATAAATGAATATGCGTTTGTATGAGATATATTTGTGTGCATGTGTGTGTGTTTAATATAGAGCTTGAAGAATCCCGGCAGAAATGCCCTCCTTGTTGGTATAAATTTTCCAACATATTTTTAATCTGGGACTGTTCGCCATATTGGCTGAAAGTGAAGCACATTGTCAACCTGGTCGTGATGGATCCGTTTGTGGACTTGGCCATCACCATCTGCATCGTCTTAAACACGCTCTTCATGGCCATGGAGCACTACCCCATGACGGATCATTTCAACAATGTGCTCAAAGTAGGAAACCTGGTAAGCATCTTGGAAGGTAAATGTGTTCAGTCTTCAAATGCTCTGTTTGAGAAAAATAATACAATAGCTTATAGCAATCATTTAAACATTCTTCTTACCTCCCACCCCCCACTCCAAGGTGATAAGATGATCATGCTATCTAGCTGGTTTGACCCTACCTTTTTTTAAAAATAGCCATGCTCCACATGGAAAAAGCACACCAGCCTATGCAACCACGAGGTGTTGAAGGGATCAGGTGTAAGGCATCATCAGAACAAAAAATCTTACCATAGTGAATGATGGGGGGAGTGTGGAGTGGAGACCCAAAGCCCATTAGTAGGCCACTGGAGATCCCCTTGCAGAGGGGTCTCGGGGAGGAGATGAGCCAGTCAGGGTGCGATGTAACAATGATGAGAAATACAACCTTCCTCTAGTTCCTAAAGGTTTCCTCCCCGCTCCCACTACCATGACTCGAATTCTATCTTGCAAGACTGGCTAGACCAGAGGAGGTACACTGGTACAGATAGGAACTGAAAATACAGGGAATGCAGGACGGATGAGCCCTATAGGACCAGTGGTGTGAGTGGCAAAACAGGGAGGGTAAAGGGAGAATGGGTAGGAAAGAGGGAACCGATTACATGGAACTGTGTGTGACCTCCTCCCTGGGGGACAGACAACCAAAAAGTGGATGAAGGGAGAAGTCGGACAGGGCAAGATATGACAAAATACCCATTTATAAACTATCAAGGGCTCATGTGGGAGGGGGGAGCGGGGAGGGAGGGGAAAAATGAGGACCTAATGTCGGGGGTTTAAATGGAGAGAAAATGTTTTGAGAAATGATGTACAAATACGCTTTACACAATTGATGTGTGTATGGATTGGGATAACAGTTGTATGAGCCCCTAATAAAATGTTTAAAAAAAAAAAAAAAAAAAAGATCTAAAAAAAAAAAAAAATAGCCATGCTGAAGGGCCTAGTGATGTTTATAGCTTTTACAAGATGCAGAAATCATTCATACATTTGCAAACAGTATTATCACCGTTTCGCCAGCAGTAGAAAGCTAAAATAAAATTGTGGATTATTTTGTCCTACTTATTCACCATCATTGTAAGCAATCGTTGAATTCCCAAAAATCTTGAGTATCTCCATTTTCAGGAGCTAGGTTGAACATGTATTATTCTATCCATCCACCTGTATCAAAGCCATGGTACGTTGAAAACATCCAGTGCATTTCGTGTGTTATATGATTGGCAGGATCATTTTAAGTGATGCTTCCACGTAATTCTTTCTTCTTCAGCCTCAAAAATATAAATTATTAAAATATTTGTCGGCTGACTCAACTTCTGGATATTAGTTTCTTATTTTTTGAAAGGAAGAGGTCTCTCTACAGTAATGTACCCTTCTAAAATTTGTTCTTAAGTTTTAGACACTTATGGGTCAAAGGTAAAACAAATGTAATATCTCTGTATGCTTCCAAAGCTCTTTCATTTAAACCATAGAAGCAATTTTTCATGTGCTTGGAAAATGTGTTAGTCAGTGGGGAGAAAGTCTGTGGGTCCAGTGGCGTTGTGAGCATCTCAGAGCTGACAAGGGTCTCTCTGTGGCTCCTCCGGCTTCAAAGGTCTGGTTGTGTCCATGTGGCTTGTCTTCTGCAATATCTCCCAGGGAGTGGCAGAGAGAGAGAGGTGTCTTCCGCCTCCAAGGGAGAAGTACCAGTTTTCCCAGAATTCTCAGGAGAAGGCCATGCCCAAACAGAAGTCTCATTGGCTATCTCCAGATTGACAGCCCAGACTCCACCCCTACACTCTTAATCCTTAAATTGACACTAGATTAGGTGACTACCACAGCAAATAATAGCAGTAATGATGCACATTTATAAGACTAGAGAATCATTTATACTAATAACTACCTAATTGAGGAAAATGAGAACCAAACTATAGACAAATAAAACTTATCCATGGCCAAAATTTATCAGTATCTGAGAAGTATAGAATTTTATGTAATGAAAGAACACTAATGAAAAATAGAATACTTGCATTCAAATCCTTGACTCAAAATTGTCTTGTTGTATGATTTGGGGCAAGTCAATTTCTCCCATCTGAAGATCCTCATTTCTCATCTCTAATTTAATATAAGGTTAAGTCAAAAAGTACTACTAAAAATAATCTTAGAAACTTTTATTAAACAAAAATATCAAAATGTGAGGTTATTTGTCTGGGGTCTTAAAAGCGTGAAGATAAACAAGCGGCCATCTAGCTGAGAAGCAACAAAGCCCACCTGGAAGAAGCACACCAGCCTGTGTGGTCATGAAATGTCGA